TGGAAGTAGATTGCCCAACCTTCCTTCCAAGGAGTGGCTGGTGGGTTTGAACCGCCAGCCTTCTGGTTAGCAGTCAAGTGCTTAGGCACTATGCTACCAGAGCTCCTGATAAATGACTAGGTCAGTTATAAAGAATTTGTAGCATAATAAATGCTCATTTACGGTAACTGCCACCAGACACCATAACGATTTTTCCCTCTGCAGACATTTGTGTGTCAGCTTTCACTATTATGCTAAGGCAATTGCCATTTATCCATCTTTTTCCCATATTCCAAAATTTTATTGATGTTTCTCATCTATTTTCATCTCTTCCCTCTTTGCCTTTGTTGGTTTACACCTTTTAAAAATTATTTTGTTAGTATTTTAATTGTGTCTGGGAAGGAAACAAACCACCACTTTTTACAGAGGTACTATAGGGAGCTTTGGTAGCATAGTGCCTAAAGGCACTTGACTGCTAACCAGAAGGCTGGAGGTTCAAACCCACCAGCCACTCCTTGGAAGGAAGATGGGGCAATCTACTTCCCTAGTAATACTGCCTTGGAAACCCAAGGAGAGGTCACTATGAGTCTTGTCTCATCTTCCCTAGAGATACCACCTTGGAAACCCAAGGAGGGGCTGTTATGAGTCTAATTGACTCTATGTCAGTGAGGTGTTGTTGTTATAGAACATTCTTTAGAATATTTTAAACATTGATAAATCTTTACTATTTAAGAACAGTTTTAGTTTTGAGGAATACCCAAAAGTCTGAGAGACCCTTGGTCAAATTCCCTTTCTAGGCCTAAAATCCCCCAATAATCACCACAATTATATTTCTCTATCTTGGAAAGCAAATGAACTGAATAAATTATGATTGTTGTGCATTCTAATCCAACAAAATAATCTGGAATCTATAGATACCTTTCCCAAAAGTATAAAGTACATATATTGTTCCAAACAAACATGTAATACATACAAAATTTCCAGGGGTAAAAAAAAAAACTCTGCCCCAAAATTATGCTAACTTGCTATTTTATTTTTAAGTAGCTTATTCATTAAACTCACCTCAAATGAAATAATAGGATTTTAATAGGATGTTATCACTGCTCATCACTCTGCCCCAGAGGAGATAATTAAAGGAGCTGAAACACTTAATCTGAAGTACTCATCTTATCATGCCACCACTTTGTACTGAATGGCAGGCTATTATTCTTTACCTCATCCTGCTCAAATAATTTCCTTTAGAAGAATCAGCACAAGACTGACCCCTATGAGGCAGAGGTTAAAGAGGTCCCAAAGGTCCAACTTTTCCAAACTGCTGTACTACTTTGTCATCTCTAACATCAACTCCTCCTCCTCCTCCTTCTTCCCTCAGTACTCTCCCTCCTGTCTTAAGTTCCACATTTCACTGCAGTGTTAAACAGAACTCACAAACTGCCAAGGAAATGGCTCACATGGCAGTGGAGGCTGAGAGGATGGCAAGTCTGAAATCCGTGAGTAGATCTGGAGGATTCTACTCACTTGTGTGGTTTGCGAACCCCAATTGGTGGGTCAGATGACCAGCTGCTATCTCAAGTCCAGAGGTGAGATGATGAGGAACCAAACACAGGACCAGAGCAAGAGACAGCCAACTTTCCCAGAACATTCACATATACACCCTTAAGGAAACTAAAGGTGGTAACTTGAGTCACACCCTCCAGCAAGGCAGGACTCAAGATACATCCCACTCTAAACAGACACACAGACTAGGATTTACATCACAAAGTGGAGGATTATGGCTCAAAAAAAAAAAAAAAGCCACCTCATTGCCATCGAGTGGATTCTGACTCAGCAAGACCTCCTTGGGTTTCCTAGCCAATAAATCTTAACGGAAGTTGATTGCCCAGTCTTCCTTCCACAGAGTGGCTGGTGGATTTGAACCACCAACCTTCTGGTTAGCAGTCAAATGCCTTAGGCACTATGCCACCAGAGCTCCCATATTAAGCAATGTACTGAACTGCACCTCCCAAGAAAGTGGAAGTCCAAAAGTAGTCAGATGTTTAAAAGGAAAAATTAATCTCATCAGCAGAGGGCTGAAAGCAGCATGGGTAATAACTAGATGTTCTTTAGCACTGACTTGGAGAGAGTGTAAAGGGGATCAAAGACTATAACTTTTTAAACTGGCTTCTTTCTGTCTCTTTGCATCCTGAAAATCTGTCTCTGTATTTATTAAAAAGTAACAAAAGTAGACCTAGCCTACAAATGTCATAATCTAAAACTGATTTTTTTTGGATAAAGCTCTCCGACCAGTTGTTTAGAGGCAAAGCTGCAGAATAATCTTAGGAGACAGAGAGAGACAGCTGTTGATGAAAAATAGGTGTAACAACAAAGTAAAGACACTTTGTGTGGCTCAAATCTGCTTCGGAGGCTGATCCAGAGGGACAATTCTTTCTGAACTCTGACAGGCTTGTTTTTAAAAGATTGTTAAAACAGTATTGTGCTCAAACATGTACACAGCCTCTTGAGGTAATTACTTTTAAAGGTAGTACTTAATTGAATATATGTATTGGGGTATATCTGATTTTTAAATGCTTTATAATGACCCTTAATGTTCTAACATGGAAATGGGAGGCAAAGAAAAGGAGTTAGGGAAGTTGTTCACAGCAGACTTGTTTATAACAGTAAAAAATTGGCCTTATTAGTAAAAAATTTACAAAAGTAACAAAGCTCTGGTAGCATAGTGCCTAAGGCACTTGACTGCTCACCAGAAGGCTGGCGGTTCAAACCCACCAGCCACTCCTCGGAAGGAAGGTTGGGCAATCCTACTTCCGTAGTGATACTGCCTCGGAAACCCAAGGAGGGGTCGCTATGAGTCAGGGCCGACTCGATGGCAAACAACAACAACAACAACAAAACTTGTCTAGAATAGGAAAGTGGTCAAGCAACATATCAGGCTATATACCCACTAAAATGACAGGCACATGTGTTCATGTCCATTTGTGGAAAAGTACATATAATTCTAAGGGAAAAAGATGAATACAAAATAGTGAACGTACACAAAACAATTTCATGGAAATGAATGTTCATGAAAGATCAGGGCTCATTTTATGCCATATTAAATGTTCATTAAGTTTTGTTGTGTTTGGAATTGTTCAAATTCAAAATAAAAGAGAACATTTGTTTTGGAAATAATCCAACTTCCCAGTTCTTCCTGAGCCAAGTTAAGCAACGTAATTTCATCATTTTCCTGCAGGCAATTCTTAGGACTGTCAGGATCTCTATCTTCAAACACACACACACACACACACACACACACGCAGTCAATGGACCAAAAAATAGTTCCTACTTTCTACATAGTTCAAAGGAGGAAGTTAAAAGATGTTAAATACTGGGACCAGCTCATCCTGGTTAGCTGAGTGATCTGACTTCCCAGTCAACATGAAGGCTATCCTTATTCTGGGGTTTTTGTTCCTTTCTGTCACTGTCCAGGGCAAAGTCTTTGAAAAATGCGAGTTGGCCAGAATTCTGAAACAAAATGGAATGGATGGCTTCAGAAGAATTAGCTTGGCAAACTGTAAGTTCACTTTCCTTTATACTTCCACATAGTTATTCAGGAGAGGAAGAGACACTATGAGAGGATGAATAATAAGAAGGGCATCTTAGTCATCTTTATCTACTATAACAGAAATACCGTAAGTGGATGGCTTTCACAAACAGAAATTTATTTTCTCACAGTTTAGGAGGCTAAACATCCAAATTTAGTATAAACTCTAGGGGAAGTTCCTTGTTTCCTTTCAATGAATGTGGGCCCCGCATTCCTTGGAGATGTCTCTTTTGGGCATCAATCTTCCTCTGGGACTGGGAGGTTCTCAGCACAAGGATTCCAGGGTCCAAAGGACACCCTCAGTTCTCAGCTCTTCTCTCTTGGTATTTGAATGAGATCCATCTCTCTCTCTCTCTCTGCTTACTTCTCTCTCTTTTTAACTCTTGTACAATAAACGATGTGATTCAAACAGGGGTATAACTTGAGTAAGGGTAACTTGAGTAAAGGTGGCACAACCCCACAACACTGGGACTCATGGCCTAGCCAAATTGACACGTATTTTGGGGGGATACAATTCAATTCATTACAAATGGTCTCTGAGCAAAAAGACTTTACTATTATTATTATTTCATTGGGGTTTGTATACTTACAGTGGTTAAAAATACCAATGAGTTTCTTTAAAGTCAGAGATACCAGATTCGGGAATAAGGGCATGGGAGGGCAAAATTCCTACCATTCTGAATACTATAGCATCTGTTGTACTCTTCTAGTTTCACTGAATTTGCCAGTTGCCTCAGACTCCATGGTACAAGTGGGCTGACTAAAAGATACATTTGAAGACCTGGAATATCTCTGTCAATTCCTCATTACTAAAAGCCTAGGGTGGTGCAGTATGTTTTTTAAAAATCACTTGTCATGACGTAGCATTTTTAACAATAATATTTTAAAAGTTATGTTGAACTCTCAATATAAGCACAATAGGAACTCATTTCCCTACAGTAACTATATAATGTAAGTATCCCTAAAACTCAGCATGAAATTATGTTTTTTCATTCTAATTCACCTGACTGATTAACTATTTTACATTTTCTTTTTTTAAAATGCATTTTATTGAAATATAATTTGTTGTTGTTGTTGTTATGTGCTGTCGAGTCAGCCCCGACTCATAGTGACCCCTCCTTGGGTTTCCCAGGCAGTTATCACTACGGAAGTAGGATTGCCCAACCTTCCTTCCGAGGAGTGGCTGGTGGGTTTGAACCGCCAGTCATCTGGTTAGCAGGCAAGTGTCTT